GAGAATGAATTGTAGAGAGAGAGAGACGTCAGACACTGGCTGATGCCCTCTCTCTCTCTCTCTCCACGTAGAAACGAGAATGAATTGTAGAGAGAGAGAGAGAGAGAGAGAGAGAGAGAGAGAGAGAGAGAGAGAGAGGGCGTCAGCCAGCATCTGACGCCGAGTTTGCGGTCAGGGGCGGCCTGTACGAGTGAACGAGGGGAATGGACACGATATGTATGTGGTCATAATCGCGGAAAGTCATGTTCGAGCATGGTCGTATGCTTGTCAACGGACGCCAACTAACAACCACGGGCTGAGAGGATGGTGGAAGGGCGGTGAAGCAGGGATCATGAGGCATGGCGAGTTCATCCAAGACAGGCACGAAATTCAAATACTTGCAGTGGTATAGACTAGGATGAATTAACTTGGCCGTAAACACTGCCAGGTTCATTCATATTGGAACCAGCCAGCTCGCAGCTCAGCAACGGGGATACTTGAAGCCGAATTGATTGAATAGGACGCGTGTGTGTGTGAGGCGTCCTCAGACGATAGGCACTGAGTAGGGGTGAGCCCTCAGTTAGGAGCCGAGAAGCCACGAGCGCAGCATGGAGGAGACATGAGGTGGGACTTTTCAGGGGAGAGGGGTTTGCGCTCAGGCGCTCCCAGTGGCGGGAAGCTGGAGAACTTGGAGTTAAGTAGGAGGCGGAAGCGAACAGGAAAGGGTCAATTAGTGGGCTGACGAGGGAGAACATGTAAGCAAAGAGAGGAGCACATCGAGTAAGAGAGATTGAAGAGGGGAGGGCGGAGAGAAACACTGTAAGTACAGTCGAGAAGGGGACAACAGCGGACTTGAGGCTTTCGGATCGTGAATGTTGCGGCCGGCGGGCGAGCGAGACGAGGAGTCCGCGACCAGGAGATACGGAGAGAGGGGCGTGGAAGGGCACAGTCCGAGAACACGCACCCTGTGCCTGCAGTAATGAGTCGGACGAACGGGTGATCGCACGGCCGAGGAAATCAGCGACGAGGTGGGGACATCCGATCGGAGGTAGCGGGAACGCTCTAAACAGGGGAACACAGAGCCAGCGAGCTGCGATTGTGGCTCAAACGGACCACTGAACAGAAACGGGGCCAAGATCAAGGGAGGCTAGCAGAGAGGGGTGTGTGAGGCTTGCAGCCTGCGGAGGGATTCATTAGTCAAAGCAGTATTATCTTGGTCAGCGTGGTGACCAGTAGCTCCGCACCACGCTGACCAAGATAATGCTGGTGACCAGTCAAACCAGATCAGCGTGGTGACGTTGTTATTGCTGTGCGGATGCAAGGGGTAATTTGGTCAATGCAGGGGGAAACAGTCAACACAGGCATGAGGAGTTATAATGAGCAGGGCCATGGCTTGGTCGATGCAGAAGTGACACACGGAGGATTAAGTCGGCCAACGGCTGAGGAGGATGAGTAGGTCAACACAAGGGTGATGAGGGGTGATTTTGTCAATGGAGGGTTGAATTGGCGTAATTTGATAAATGCAGCGGTGAGAAAAGCGGTGATCTGGTCAGCGTCCATGAGACAGAAAGAGGGGCAAGGCCGCTCTCGGCGCATGGCCGATGGTTCGACCGGACGTTTTGTTATTTATTTATTGTGACATTCCAACTTTTTCTTCTTCTTCTTCTTTGAAGAAAACAGAGCCTTATGGCTCTGTCTCCATGTCCATTCGGGGGAGCATCACTTTGGTAGTTGTATTCCAAGTTCACATTTTTTTTGGTTCTTTCTTCTGTCTCAAAGAAATCTTTTAAACCACCAGTACCTCTCCCTGCTTGAAGAAATCGATGTGGCCGTTAACGCGCCGCGTCGCGCGGGGTACCCACCGGCGTGCGACCGGTAGTTCCCAAAAAAGCGGGAAAAAAAAAAAAAAAAAAAAAAAAAAAAAAAAAAAAAAAAAAAAAAAAAAAAAAAAACCCGAGGAAAAGCGGCGGGGCGGGGGAAGGGGGGGAAGAACGAGAGAGAGAGAGAGAGAGAGAGAGAGAGAGAGAGAGAGAGAGAGAGAGAGAAGAGAACGTCCGGTCGCACGCCTCCGGACGTGCTCTCCACGTAGAACTGAGAATTCATACGACCATACCTCCGTTAAGTTACACTGTCACAGTTGCAGTTGTGGGGTTAAACCCCAATTGATGGCAGTCATGGAATTCCAGATGCAATATAATTGGCAGTTGTGGGGTTAAGCCCCAATTGCTGGCAATCATGGAATACCAGATGCAATAGTTGGGATCGTGCCCTTCTCCCTTCCCTGTGTTGACTAAATCACAACTTTCTCCTTTCTGGGATGAACCCAGTTTGACACAGGTCTATCCTGGTTTGGCCAATGCAGGTTTGTCCAGGGTCTTCATGGGACAACAATGACAGAAATAGCTTCTGTTATTACTGCAGTCATGGTAGAATCTCTCTCCTTATCCCTTGGCCTCTCTCTTTTTCCTCTTCTTGCCCCTCGGCCCTTCTCTCTTCCCCTCCCTCTCCCTCTCTCTCTGCCCTCCCTCTCCCTCTGTCCATCTGTCTCTCTCTCTCTCTCTCTCTCTCTCTCTCTCTCTCTCTGTCTCTCTCATTTCTTTGTTGCCCTCTCTATCTCCTCTCTCTCTCGTTTCCTCTGCCTCCCTCTCTATCTCCTTGTCATTGTGTACCGTGGTCGCAAACCCTATGTCTCTCTCTGTCTCTCTCTCTCTGCTCTTCATTATGTACCGTAGTCACAAGCCCTATGCATCTGACTCTCCTCTCTCTCTCTCTCTCTCTCTCTCTCTCTCTCTCTCTCTCTCTCTCTCTCTCT